TTGTGCTTATCTCTAAGAAATCGGGGGCGACCGACATTAAGGACTTTCGCCCTATTAGCCTTGTCTGTGGGATGTATAAGATTATTGCGAAAGTCCTGGCGAATAGATTAAAGGAGGTGCTCGGAAAAGTAGTGTTCAAGTTTCAGAATGCTTTCGTAAAAGGTCGCCAGATTTTGGACTCTGTGCTTATAGCGAATGAATGCATTGATTCAAGATTGCGTTTGGGAATTCCCGGGATGCTATGTAAGCTCGATATTCAGAAGGCATATGATCATGTGAACTGGGGGTTCCTTTTGTATATGCTTAGGAGGTGCGGCTTTAGGGATAAATGGTGTAAATGGATTCAATTTTGTATTTCTACTGTTTCGTTCTCAGTTATGGTCAATGGATCGCCGAAGGGTTATTTTCGGAGTAGTAGAGGTTTGCGGCAAGGAGATCCACTATCCCCATTGCTATTTGTTATTTTGATGGAGGCTTTCAGTAGGATGTTTGAAAGAGCTGTGGGAGAGGGTTTGGTAAGGGGCTTTATGATTGGCCAATTGCAGGTGTCTCATTTGCTATTTGCAGATGACACGTTGATCTTATGCGATGCGGATGGTGAACAATTCAGGAACCTGCGTCGTTTGCTCCTATATTTTGAAGCGGTGTCTGGATTAAAAATCAATTTGGGGAAATCTGAGGTTATTCCATTAGGGGAGGTCACTAACATGGAGGAGTTGGTTGGCATATTGGGATGTAGGGTTGCACAATTGCCCATGTCATATTTAGGGCTCCCGCTAGGGGCACGGTTTGAAAGTACACATATTTGGAATGGTATTATGGAAAGAATGGAGAGGAAGTTTGCAGGGTGGAAGCGTATGTATCTTTCTAAGGGAGGCCGACTTACTCTTATTAAATCCACTCTCTCAAATCTCCCCACTTACTTTTTGTCATTGTTTTCTATTCCGGTTGTAGTGGCAAATAGATTAGAGAGACTTCAAAGAGAATTCTTGTGGGCAGGGCTAGGGGAGGAGAGGAAAATGCATTTGGTTAATTGGGGTACTGTCTGTTTGCCTATGAGGATGGGGGGGCTTGGAGTGAGGAGCCTTGTTTTGTTTAATAAGGCTTTATTGGGCAAGTGGTTGTGGCGATTTGGAGTGGAGAGGGAGAGCTTTTGGAGAGAAATCATTGGGGCAAAGTATGGTGTGATGGAGGGGGGTTGGTGTACGGTTGAGGGTCATGGCTCCTATGGGGTGAGCTTGTGGAGGTATATCCGACGGGGATGGAGTGATTTTAGCGACAAACTGAATTTTGTGGTGGGAAATGGCACTGATATTAGATTTTGGCATGATAGTTGGTGTGGCGATCAACCGTTAAAGGAGAGATTTCCTTCATTATACCGCATTGCGTTAGAGCCTGCTGCTATGGTGGGTGATGTATTAGACATTCATAATGGGGGCTTTAGTTGGAATATTACTTTTAAGAAAGATTAAAACTCAGTAGACATATATTCGCCTCCCGAATCAGATTGTAAGATCTTGATTGCGAAGGAAAATTAATTATCAATGAGTGTAAGGAAAGCTGGAAAGACTGAGAAAACCTCACTCTTTACACGGAGAAAATAAACCTATGTGAAACGACTATTGTCGTCAATAAAAGTAACAAAGTATAATGAGTATGAGATGCAACAGGTGCAAGACTCCAAGCATTACTATGAACAATATAAAAAATATATGAAGCACGAGAACCATAAGAAGGGAACGGTAAGACTTTATTCTTATCAAGTTTACATGAAGTACAATCAAAAGAAATAGATGAAACCGAAGCAAAAATTTTATTACCTAGCAAACCAAAGTTTAACAAGTAATGTTACATGTTAGAATTGGGATGTTATAATTTCTTATGCCAATCAAACATATCAAAAGTAATAGAATTACAAATAATAGGAAATAATGAAATAGGCTTCGGTGAAATAGGAAAGAGACGTCCCTCCTTAGGCCTCCTCATGATTGTCCTCCGGACTCTTGATCCTGCACAAGACAACCAGAAGAAGAAAAAGACACGATGCAATTGGTATCAACAAGTTGACCAATAGAAATAAGATTAGTAGATAAACTAGGAGAGAATAAGACATTAGGTAAATCTGATAATACATCTTCCATGATTGAGATGGGGTGTTACCATCAATAGTTTGTATATGGAGGGGTCCAGTGTATACTTTAAGATTACCATGCAATAGAGGATTATGAATCATATGGTTGGAAGCACCTGAATCTAATAACTAAGAAGGAGCAGTTGATGTATTACCTAAGATGCCTAAGGCACACAAAGTAGAAATAATCATTTACTGAATAATTTCAAGATTGATGGAGTTTTGGGAAGGACTGGAAGAGGCTGGACCTTGATTAGAAGCAGTTGGCAGAGGAGTAATGGAGGCGAAGGTGGCACAAGCAACATAACCTTCTCCGGACTTGTGCAGGGGACGAGTAGGACACTCCTTAATGACATGTCCAAGCTTCCTATAATAATTGCATATTTTTCTTGGATACTGAAGAGCATGTGACCAAACTCCTTACAATTGTAATACTATATACCAGACATATCCTGAGATTTGAATTTCTCTTGAGCAACATATGCAATAGAAACCGATACTACTTGATTATGATGATGTTCTAAAGAGGTATGAGTGATAAGTAACTGTTTCTCCTCAACAATGCATCTAAATAGTCATCCAACATTGGGGATGGATTCGCGATTCATAAAGCTAGACTGGATGGATTCAAATTCTGCTTGCAATTTCATGAGAAATTGATCCCTTTTGGTGACTTCATGCACAGCTTGGACAGTTTCCAAATTGTCAGGTGATACTGAAGCATGGATAATGTCTATGTACTCAGCCCAATGATTCGTAAAACTAGAATAATATTCTTTAATGGAGCGAAGTCCCAAGAAAAATTTGCCAATTGAAACTCCAACTGCAACCGTCGAGCATTGTTACTTTGAGAGTATAATTTCTTCAAGTACTCCCACATAGAACGAGTTGACTTGTAAGGCCTGAGATTAAGAATAATCTGAGCATCAACAGAACTAATGATCTATGCCATAATTCGGGAATCTTTGGTTTTCCAAGTAAGATATTTTTCCTTGTCCTTCTCCTGTTTCGACGATGGAATACTTCCATCAATATGTTCCCATAGATTGCCTTTTCCTTCAGTTAATAATTGAAAATGAAATGCCCATGAAGAGTAGTTCTTTCTAGGGAATCGAATGCAAACGGAGTCACCTTTTTCAGTCGACATTATGAACCCGTGTATAGTGCAGCCAAAATAATTAAATCGCAACTCAACCAAATAATTTTTGTCCGATCAAGTTAAATTAGTCCAACAAGATCCAACCAAACTCAACAACCCTACAAATATCCAAGTAAACTAATGGCTCAGCACAAAAGCTAAAAAAAAGACAGTGGCCCAAAAACTGTAGGCCCCCACTAATACGAAAAACTCCCAGGCCCAGCACAAGAGCTCAAACACGGATAGTGGCCCAAAAAAACTGTGACACACCACTTAGACCAACTCACAGAGATCGCATGGCGACAGGAGAAGAAGACCCACTCCGGCGACACTAGAAATGACGATCGGCGACCACAGGTGACAACCAATCGATCGCCAAAATACAAGAAGCAAGCATAGATGACACCGTCGTCGATGAAACTAAGAACGAGTGTTGATGCCCAACAAACTTAGCCCACACCGTAACCACACGCTCTAGGAAGAAGGTTAGGGCTCTGATACCATATAAAGTTTGCTGGATAATTCTTCCTCCTGTCTTGTTTCATATATATAGAGATTTCCAAATAAATTACAAGGAAACCTTAGCTGTACAAAAGGAAACTAATTTATACGAGGAAACCTATAAATCATGCCCTCTCCAATAGCCTTATAATATGATTCAAAACAGCCTGCCCGTCATTTTTTGAATTCTATCCGAGATTATCATTTTCTAATACCCTAGAGATTTCCCAACTAAGAAATGCTCCGTCAACATAAGATCCCTTAATATTCCTTAAGTTTCTCTACACATAACTGTACATTTAAGGCTTTTCTGTCTATCTCCTCCCCACCCACAAAGTGCAGATTTTAGAGTTTCTTCAAGTTGGGTGAAACTTCTTGTCCTTCAACTAAAAGAGTATCAATGCTCCCATTAACTAGCCTTTTGAAGCAAATCTGTTGCGTGAAACAGATGACATAGCCTCAAATTTCAGGCTGGGAATGAGATGAATTATATTCTGTGCGATCACTAGGTTTAATTACCTGTTATGTTACTTCGAGTTCACCTAAATGGAAGGATTTTCCTCTATTTCTTTGCCTTCTGTAAATTACCCTTTGCAGCTCACAGCCATCATCAACTAGCTTTATTAAGTTCATCGTGATAATTATTGATTTACTTATTTCTCTCCAAGAAGAATTAATCTTTGATGGAGAGTTGATCAGACCCTACTCAATTGACACGTGGGCCTGTTGGGTGTTAAATCATAATTTTGGTAGATTTTGATAAAAGTTGATGAAATGTGATTGAAAAGTTGTGGGTCCCTTGAAATATGTGGTTAAAATTAGTTGTTGACTTTGACTTTGATAAAAATCTATATTTCAATCTCCACCAAACAGTGACATGATTACCATAAACACCATAAATGCAATTTTTTCTTCCTTTCAACTATTTCATCAATTTAAAATTAATTTGAACCGAAGGTAGAAAATCTTTTGGCAAATATTTCTGCGAGTGCAAAAATCAGTATTATGTAATCCCCATTGCTGTATTAGAAATATCTATCTCTGTTCTCTATATGCTTTAATTACAGAATTTTCTGTCTCTATGGACAAATTTTTGTACTCTTCAACTGTATTTATTTTTAAGTCAAGGTGTTTATGTTTCCCTGCAACGTTTTAATTCTCATCACTGTTACGAATGATTTGACTCATTGTTTCCTCCCTTCTACCTTTTAATGAATGATTATCCATCAGTCTATCATTCGGGGGAATTTGCAATATGCTGCCATAAGTGCTTTAAGAAGACTCCCTTTGGATCCAGGAAATTCAGCATTTCTCCATCGTGCTACACAAGGGTTAGATTTTATCTGTTGGTTTTTGATTATCTAGAGTGATGCTATGCAACATGATGGTGATTTATGATTCATTACCGTGTTTATGTTGGTTATATCTGCTGCTGGCATTTTATCGTCTAAATCATGTTGCAGATCAATAAATTTCTTTTATATCTTCAAGATTGTGCTATCAAAATCTCAATTCATTCTAGGGATTTTGTTTAGTTATTACTGCTCTTTTCTATGTTAGCTGCTAGTATACCTGTGACTGCTTCAGCTAAAATCATTACCCTTGATTGCTAATCATTTTCATAAGCATGTTGGATCCAAATTGCTGAATTTTTAGTTTCTGGGTTTAGAAAGAAGAAAAAGATGAATGAAATAGAATAGACCAGCCACTTGCATAGCTTTCTGTTTAATATGGCAAAATAAAAGCGTAAGAAATCCCGAAATCGTATTTGCAATCTTTCCAGCGAAGAATTTGATAAATTTATTGCTCTTCACAATACATGATACCTACAAACCCCAGCCCATACCCTTCCCTTCAGAAGAATAAAAGGTCTGCTGCGGTGTGCTACCAAGCACGGTCTTCAGCTCCAATTGTTTGCATGCCAGTTTAGCTTTGATCCAAGCTGAGTATAATCGAGGCAGTAAGTTAACCAAAATTGATCACAATCTCGTAAGACGACTAAAAGACCAAAATTGATCACAATCTCGTAAGACGACTAAAAGCATACTCCCTCCATCCCATTTTTTGTACCTTTTTTGTGGGATGCTTAACAGCTTGAAATCTTTTAACTTCTTTTCTTATGATGTCCTCCTTTTGTCATTTACTTCAACTTTTTGTATCCATACTTTTGCTGAGATCAGATTAATTGAATATTCAGGAAATGCCATACATTCATCTTAGTTAAAGAACTATTCAGAAAACAAATTGGTTATATGAAAAGCAACTCAAAATGTGAGGATGGAGTATTGGAAATTAGATAAATCATTGGCCATGTAAGAGTTCATCAACATTTTTGGAACCCCAATTATACTTCATTGATCATAAACATTAAACTAAATTAGAAATTAAAAACTAATTTAGGACCTTTATTTAAACTTGAGAGCTAACAATTCAGTTATCTGAGAGCCTGCATGGTGTTTGGTAGTCTTTTAATTATTGAAATATTATCTGAGAGTCTCAATGCTGATTGTGATAGTTTGTCCCACTCCTACTGAATCTACTTCTTGTTGATTTTGAGGTCTCAAATTGAAGACATGATATTGAGAAGCATTTATTGCACGTATCCATCTACAAGTGCCTTTAAGTCTTGCTACTTTGAAAATCTCATCCCGCATGAACAAAGTCATCTTTTGTACACATATTCTATTGCTATATCTTCATTTTACATCTCTGGCCAACAATTTTCACGTCATTTCATATGTTGTTGCAGTGTTTTGTTTTCTGATCCAGTGGCTGTGAGACATTCTTTGGAAATTCTTTCAGAATTAGCAATGAAGGATCCCTATGCAGTTGCAATGGCATTAGGTAATTTGATTGTGACTAATTTCCACTGTATCTCGTATTACCATGGGTTATCTAGTTGTGGTATACATCGGTGTATGATTTAATTCTTACCTAAAAATGGTGTTTGTTCATATGCCCCTTTCTGGATTTGATTATGTGGTCTGGGTTTATATATGCCTAAGAGCATGAAATTAGGAATGATTCTATTCTAACCAAGTTGTCTGTTCTAATTAGATGAAGAGGTATATTGTGAAGAGGTATATTGTTAGAATATTTCCTAATGATACATATTCTTGATTTATTATTCCTGAGGAATGCCATCATCTATTGAATCAGGGAATGGCATAGTTATTGTAAACGTGGACCACAATGTCCTAAATTTAGCAGTTCAAGCTCCTTCGAAAGTACTGGATGCTTTGAGAATATAACAATTTGTCGTCTTTGAAGATTATTAAGATTCCTTTTTTTTTTTTTTTAATTTTCCTAACTTGCTGGTCTAAGTTTATATTTTAAAGTACTCAATCTCAATAAAGGGTGTGCTTAAACAAAATTCATGTGATGGTTTCATTTTTTCAACAATATTCTCAACTTAAAGCATATACAATTTTCAATGAACTACGTTGCGTCATTTATAAGCTTGAAATTGATTATTAAGGCAAACTAAAAGGCGTTACCTCCGGTGTACTTAATATTATCTTAAGGAACATTTGATTTCCTCTTTCAGATTCTGCTTGCTGAGGGAGTCTGTGCTTTAGATAACAGTGTCACTTAATCGCTTCACTTTTGCATTTTTTTGGGAAACGGTTATCCTCCCGTTATACATTAATCGTTGAGAACGTAATTAACGAGGGGCATGTGGACCACCCCTCAAAATCTGCAAGCCAGAGTATATCTATATTTTATTTTTATTGGTCGTTTGACATACTAAATTTCTGCATGTCTGCCAAAAGCTAGCAAAGTAACCAAGATAATCTTTAAGAGGATCAGTTTGGTTTTGAAAATATTTATATTTAAAGAAAAATGTCAATTTGCCTTGTAGAGAATATTGGGCTTCTTAATACTGAATTTCTTGTATCCAAGTCAGGTTCTGAAACCATGACCTTTGTTTTAGCTTGATAGGCCATAATTGTATATGCCTTTTAGGTGCTTGGACTTTTGCGATAGATCAACTTGGATGAATCTATTCCACTTAGATATAAGTTTGAGATTGACATTAATGAAGGTATTCCAAATGATTTCACTAGTACTATGACTTCTACTTAAATATTTCTTTGAACCACCACTTTTCGCCAGATCTGTAGGAAACTGTTGCAAAAGGTTGGGAAACTTTGTGCAAAGTGCTATGTTAATTCTGCTTTCATCTTCAGTATTTTGGGTCACTCCATAGAATGTCTAATGTTATATTGGAGTTTATGTGTTTTGTTGCCCTGCGTTAATGGAACCTGTTTTTCACACACCCCCTTTTCTTTCTTTCCATCTCTGCTTATTTTTTCTTCTTCCCTATTTTGTTCTGGGGGAAAGGGTAGTTGATAGCGTCTGGAAAATTATTGAACTAGTCCAAGAGTGTGACAGCTAAACCTATGGTTGATGACATGGGCCATAATTTGTAGTCAGATGCATATGAATTGTGGTTTAAACATTTTCTCATAGAAGTAATTCTTGTTATGGATTTCATGTTTTTGTATCTCATTCCCTCTAACAAAAATAAAATATTGGAGTATATTTGTCATTTCTTGCAAAAAGTACATTTATCGTGTCTGTCATCAACCCTACATTTATATATACCTCTTTCATGATAATATATTGAGTCACCTATTTGTACAGTATCAGGTTAAACTTGTTGATTTTGTGTTTATTTTTTCACCAATTTAAACTCTTCTTTTGCAGGAAGGCATGTGCAATCTGATGGTATGGTCGATGTCCTTTGGTTTCCTATCCTTATTTATGATAAAAACTGGCTTGAAATCTAATTCCAGATTCTGCTCATTAATTTTTTTTATGAATTAGGGGCTCTGCAGGATGTTCTCCACTTGCATGATGTTCTTGCTAGGGTTGCACTAGCCAGGCTGTGCCATACAGTAGCTAGAGCTCGAGCATTAGATGGTAAGCATATTTTGGATAATTTCCAATTTTGTGCCTTCAAACGAGTTAATGAACTCTGTCTCATATTTTGGATAAAAATATGCACATTCTCAAGGATGAAATTCTGACATTTTCAAATGGATTTGAATGCAGATCGGCCAGACATCAAATCTCAGTTCAATTCTGTTCTCTATCAGCTACTCTTGGATCCCAGTGAAAGAGTTTGTTTTGAGGCTATTTTTTGTGTATTGGGTAAATTTGATAATTCAGAGAGGTATGCAACAAACACAAATGGTGCTTCTGACTTTTTCTCCCGATTGTTTGTTATCCACTGCTAGTAAATTTATTTACAGTACAGAAGATTAAATGCGTGTTTTTTCTATTTCCTAACTCTTACTTTTCTACTCTTCCACTCAATATAGGACCGAGGAAAGAGCTGCTGGATGGTATCGTCTAACTAGAGAAATTCTTAAGCTTCCAGAGGCTCCTTCTGTGAAGGACTCAAATCCTGAGTCAAAAAAAGACAAATCTTCAAAGACAAGGCGCCCACAACCGCTAATCAAACTTGTCATGCGGAGGTGTGGAGCCTTCTTTCAATCTTGAATATGTGTACATATATAATTGCATACAGAACACACTTACAGTTTAGCTTCGCACTTCTGCCTTATTGATTTCTGTGAAGTGAGTAGTTTCACTGGCAGACTTAGAAGTTTCTTTAGTAGGAAAAGGGGCTTTTTTAAGGCAATCCCTCTTTCAAAGGTTACTAGCGACATTTATCAAATGTAACTATTTTCACTTCACATACCAAGGAGGTCAACTTATGGGATAGATCCTCCTTATTCCGGGTATGCTAGTCTGTAAGCAAGAAACAAACGAACCGAGTGTGAATCAAAGAATAAATGTTCTTCTGAAGTCTCCAAAGGAGAAAGGCGATATTTACTTCTTGACAATGAAAATCCAGTCCATTCATTTGTATTCCAAGCACGATATCTGAAGTATTTACTTCTTGATTACTCAGTATAGATTGCTCTTAAGAAGATCATAGCTTACTCACACACACACACACACCATATTACCTCAGAAACTTTGATTTTTCTATTTTGGTGGAACGGTATGGTCCATTTAGGAATACCTTGTGCACTACTTGTTCTTTTTTTTCTGCCTTGCTTTCAGGTTGGAAAGTTCTTTTCGTAGTTTCTCGCGGCCTGTACTGCATGCAGCGGCAAGGGTTGTACAGGAGATGGGTAAAAGCCGTGCTGCTGCTTTTTCTTTGGGTTTACAGGATATTGATGAGGGTGCTTATGTAAATACATACTCTGAAGATTCATATGATCCAGATATAAACCCGACTGCACAATCTGAAGGTAATGAATGCCTAAAAATATTCCAGTAACAGTTCAAAGTGTTTTGACTATTTAAACAACAGAAATCCTTGATCATAAGATCGAATCTTTTCATTATGTGTAAGATCATGAGGTTATTCTGTGATTGCTTGTATATGTTTCAAATGTGGTTCTGTCTCTACACTAAACAGCCTGTTCACGAGATTTTTCCATTGGAAAGGGAGCATGATGTAGGTGTAGAGATTTGTTAATTGGTATTCTTGTTTTCTGAACCGAGCATGGTTGGGAACATTTTCTTGTGAAACCATTATCAGAAGGATTAAGATAGATTTAAAGGATAATGATAGATTTTAACTGTAAGGAGGGCTCTGAATGCTGGGTTTGCACTTCCAAACCTTGAAATGGTATAGAACTTTTAGATAACTAAAGATTTTTAGTTTGCCTTGTGTGTTAAATATCGTTCTGAATATTATTGAAACGTTGCGATCTAAATTTTTATTCATGGTATGTAAGTTACAAGATATATATAACGCAGGAGTTGATTTGTAGCATTCTGAACTAGGAAACAATCCCATTGTCCCCAAATTTGAGGAAAAAAATAAGCGAATAATCAAAATAATATCAGACCTAATATTCTGTAATCTATTTTTCGAAAGTAATCAAAGAATTATTCTAACACTTCCATTCAAGCTGTGCGAAGATATTTTGCATTCCAAGCTTCCTAGCAATTCAATGGACGCTTGTATGGTAATCCTTTTGTGAGTACAACTGCCAGTTGACTAAAAGATGGTACATATGGAGTGCAAACTTGCCTAGAGCAATTATTGACTAATAAAATGTCTACTAAACCCCATGTATTTAGTTGTGTTATGCTGGGTTGGATGGTGCACTACATTTAATGGTTGGTTTATAATTGCAATAAAGCATCACTGAACTCCTTATTCCCACTTTCAATTATTAGAGTATTAATTTTAACCATAGTAGTTCACATATTCTTTGAGCCATTGCCTTGAATTCTGCCTCCACGGTAGAATGAGCAACCACCAGTTGTTTCTTACTTCTCCAAGCAATTAATTTCCTCCTAAGAAGGTACAATAGCCAGTAGTTGATTTTCTCTGTCATTGAGCCAGTCCACTCAGCTATCGACTTACTATTTTAAGCTCTCTAATTTTCTGAATGAAGAGGCCATTCTGTGGAGTGCTTTAAAGATATCTAGAAAGAGCATGTACAAACTATCGCCACACTCACTGCACAGGCTATTTCCTGTCTTATGTGTGTGATTAGACTTCCGACCATTCTTTGATACATCTCTTGATCAATACTCTTCCTTTTTCTTTTCCTTTTTTCTTTCTCTTAATTGTTGATTAGACTTTATCGGAATACCAACCAGTTTGGTGCTGACCATACTTGTTCTCTCAAAGGAGATCTCGAGTGTACTTTTCTTGAGAGAGAGTTGAGATGTGGCCATTTCAATTTCCAGAAAAGATTTTCATTTTTCGAGGTACTTGATCTCTAGTTCTTTTGCCAGATATGTCTTTAGCTCTAGGTGCAAATGTCTCGTGGTTGTCTGTACAATAAGTTTGAGTGTATCCGTTTACTACAAAATTTTCCTTGTATTAGTCGAGTGATTTGTCAGATTGTACTTCACTATGAAATTTTTTCACAGGGCATATGTATTTCTCCCTCTGGTAAATAGACTATCTCCCAGGTCTTATTTTTGTAGTGCTTTTATCTCGTTCATGGATCCTCTCCACGATTTTGAGGTTAAGACTTCTTGGACAGTTGGAAATTTTCTGAGTAAGAACTTCTGAGAGAAATGCTTGGAAATAAGTTGAAAGATTCTCCATGGACACAAAATTTGGCAAAGTGTGTCGAGTACAAGCTCTAATCCCTTTTCTAAGGGCGATTGGTAAATTGAAGTTAATAGGGGAATCAATTTCAGAACTAGAATCAGGAATTGGATCATTATTTTCATTACCTGTGTCAAGGATGATAATTGGAGCAAGCGAAGTGATGAAGAACTTTTTCCATCTGGATTACACATTAATGGAGTTCTGGATCTCTCAGCTATGGCTTCTTTATCGGTGGGTATATTGTCAGAATTTGCAATATGGTTTCAGCAAGAATTTTGGAGTCACTGGTTGTTGGCCAGTGGGATTTTGGCTGTAAGGAATTGTATATAGGCTACTTGGTTTAATTCTTAGGTTTTGATCAGTGACTGATCCACTATCCTGATCCTATCTATTTTCATCTAGAAGAGCATGATTGATGCTCAACAAATTTTTTTTTTTGTCCATAGTGACATAATGCTTTCTTGTGGGTTAGTAACAGCATTTCTATCCTTTTAGAGTTGAAAAGTATCCAAAAATTGTTCATCTTACTGTTTGGGGATCCTACTTTCATGCAAGAAGTTGGATATGAGCGTGGCTTTTTTGTGGTAAAGATCCTCTTCATTGGAAGTTGGGAAATAGTATCATAAATTTATTAAAAAATGTTTGGGTTCCCAATATTGGGATGATATTAAACTCGTGTGATGGGTTCTGATGAGTAACTGATTACATTTTATGGCCAGAAGCTTCTGCCATTGTTTAGAACTTCCTCAGGGGGAATGCATCTTGAGGGTTGCCTCGTCTTCTTTATGAGCCTTACAGCATAAGCCTTGAGGTTTAAGCCTCATGATGGTCAGTGTGTGCTTCACACTCTTTGCGCTGTATCTTCTTTTTCATACCAACCTCAGCCTTTTGACTTTTTTTTTATTTCATAGCCTTGATTATTTTAAGGGCCTTTCGAATTTGTCTTGAGCATTTCTTAAACCTAAAGCTAGGAAGAAATGAATAGTAAAATTAGAGAACAAGTGAGTCCAGAATTGGCCCGTTGACCTAGCCTCTTACAACAGACAAGCGCCAAGTGAACTCGTATTTTTTCGGTGGTAGACACACAGTTAAGAGAAATAAGAGCCAGAACATCACTGTTTTCTTTGACATATATATTTGTCATTGTTGTTTTCTGTTAGTGTAATTTCTTTCTGAAAAAGTCGAAGGAAGCAAAATTCTTATATAGATGTTCAGTTTAATTTATTATATGCTTGCTTCTTTATACTCGTGTTTCTAGTTACACATTAGACATCTAATTTTATTGAAATATAATATTATATATATTTTTTCATTTTCTTTGAATTATTTTATTTGTTTTGTGTGTTGAGACTTACATCTCATTTGAGGACTGCATAAGTTGATATTATACTGGCTGGGTTTTCACTCTAAATATGCATTGGATGCATGAAATAGCCTGTTGACTCTATGAATTGATCTCTGGTCACTTATGGTGGAATATTTTCTGCCTTCTCCTGCACAGATTCTACATTTCTTCTTTTTTGTCTCTCTGTTAGGTATTCGTAGAGTTCCCTCAATATCTAATGGAATGGGTAGCAAGGACACAATTGCAAGTTTGTTGGCTTCCTTAATGGAGGTGGTGCGAACAACTGTTGCGTGTGAATGTGTTTATGTGCGTGCAATGGTGATAAAAGCATTGATATGGATGCAAAGTCCACATGAATCTTTTGATGAGCTGGAATCGATCATCGCATCTGAGTTATCGGATCCAGCTTGGCCAGCAACTTTATTGAATGATGTATTGCTTACATTGCATGCTCGGTTTAAGGTACTGGGGGAGTGAGTTAGAAAAGTAATCATCTATTTTGATATTGTTGTTATCCTTTTGCTGCTGTAAGCTTAACCCTTATATGTCACATGCATTCTTACTGTTCTGCACAATTCGTAATAAAATGGATATAGAGCCTCATGTATCAGTCCTCCATTCTTGAAACCCTCTCTTCTCGTTGCTGTGATTTGGTTTCTCATTCCAATTTTTGGTTTTTTTGCAAATGGTTACGTCAATAAACAGCTTTCACTCAAATGGCTAGTATACATGTACGTTTTAGGAGCTTTAAAGAACTTAATGCTGAGGGATTTTTAACTTCCACTATTTTTTACTACAATTAAGAATGCAAGGCCTGGATTGATCTCTAGCTAATGATACTGGAGTGTTGTTGAGAGGTGATAAGCTTAGTTGGAGAAGATCTGAAACAAACATCAATATGAGCACTTGAAAAGGTTTTGGATTTTTAGAATTGATTGGATGATCGTTAAATGTACTCCAGAGCTTTGCTTTTCCCTATGCATGAGATTGATTTTTTTTGGTCTCACTATTCTTGTCTATTAAAAATGTATAATTTTGCCTCAAATTTCGATTTTGAGGAAAAGTTTCTTATTTTTCTTGTCTTTTTTGTCCTTTCTGCTTGAATGAACTTGTCGACTTGTCCCCAGTTCTGTACACGGACAAAGAATGTCTGAGACCATAGGGTAGCGCATTATAGTCTTTATCAGTGCATTATAGTCTTCATCTGAATGACTGTTCCCTTCTAATTGTCTGATGTAGAAAAGAAATTTTAAACAATTACAATTCAGAATGTTTTCTATATTGGTTGATTTTTTGTGCTGTTCAGACGTTTCTTTTCCTATATTTTGATGGTAACTTGGGAATGCCTATTATAAAACATGAATATTTCTTTTTACCTTAATTCTCTCTCTCAATAGCATAATCATTGCTTTCTTTGATCCTTAACTCGTCTTATTGTCGGGAGTTTAGGTCTCTCTCTCTCTATATCCCCCCCCCCCTGTTTGTGTGTGTATGTGTGTGTCCATATGCATGTCTGGGTGCGTGTTGCTGGTCTTTGAACATGCTGTAGTTTTCCATAGCTTTTACCTTTCAGGAGTAGGCACTTGCCATGTACTTAGTACTTACATGTTGTGTTTTATGTTTATTAGGCTACTCCAGATATGGCAGTCACCCTTCTCGAAATTGCTAGAATTTTTGCGACTAAAGTTCCTGGGAAGATCGATGCTGACGTACTTCAGCTTCTGTGGAAAGTAAGTTCTGACAATCCTGTTAGATTTCATTGCTTAAATGATATAATTTTTATAGTAATCTTTCAACTACATTTATGCTGAGGTGGAATGCTGTGAAAGTCGAGAAGTTTGACACTGTTGCTTCATAGTATGTTGATAATGGTATATAATTCCAAAACGGTTAAATTAAATATCAGTCACTTATTATTTTCTCTCATGCTTGTTTTTGTTTGACTTGTTTGTCTAAGGATCACAAACTTTCTTGCTTGCAGCTTAGTATGTATTTTTTTGAATTTTTAAGACTTGGCTCTCTAATTCTCTCTTCGACTGCAGTAGTATTTATGTTGTAGCTGGTTCGTCATGGGTGTCATTTAATTTGGTCTAACTGCTACGTGGTTGCTAGACTTGTCTGGTTGGAGCTGGTCCTGACGGAAAACACACAGCTCTGGAAGCTGTCACCATTGTTCTTGATTTACCACCTCCCCAACCTGGTTCCACCTCTGCGCTTACCTCAATTGATAGGGTGTCTGCATCTGATCCAAAGTCAGCTCTCGCATTACAGAGATTAGTTCAAGCAGCAGTAAGTGTTTTACTCAATTAATAGGATTCTATATGTTAAAGCTTAATAATTGGGGATCTTTAGATTTCATCAACCCCATGGTTGTATTTTCCCCACACTTTTCGCAGCATATTTTTTTCCCCTAATTGTAGGTTTGGTTCCTTGGAGAAAATGCAAATTATGCTGCTTCTGAGTATGCCTGGGAGTCGGCAACCCCACCTGGTACAGCATTGATGATGTTAGATGCCGATAAAATGGTAGCTGCTGCCAGCTCTCGGAATCCTACACTTGCTGGTGCTCTGACTCGGCTCCAGAGGTGTGCTTTCAGTGGCAGCTGGGAGGTACATAGTTTGACCTTGCTATTATTCGAATTAGGCCCATAACACAACGTAAAAAATTTTAAAAAGTGAACCTTTTTTTGCATGATCTGTTCTTGTTGACTCTTTGTTATGGATTCTTGGAGGTGTTTATTGCCCACAATAAAATCATACCTTTTATCAGGAGATAAATGGATTCGAAAATATATTTCAATCAACTCAGCAATCAAATTGAGGGGAGAGGAGTGTTCCAATAGCTTATTCTGATAGTATTCAACTTATGCTTTCTGGTTTTCTTGATTTTCTGCTTATGGATGCATGGAATACATTTAAATTATGATTGCAATAAAATTACTATGTGATTTATAGTGCTCAGATGGAAGTCATTTCTTAGTATTATGGATATTTATGTACTTTTGATGACTTGAAATCTTTTGACTCAATTCCTCCAGGTTCGCATCATTGCTGCTCAAGCTCTTACTACGATTGCAGTTAGATCTGGAGAGCCTTATAGGCTACAGATCTATGAATTTTTGCATGCTTTAGCACAAGGTGGTGTCCAATCTCAGTTTTCTGATATGCATGTCAGTAATGGAGAAGATCAGGGAGCAAGTGGTACAGGCCTCGGATCCTTAATCAGTCCTATGTTGAAGGTCCTAGATGAAATGTATAGTGCTCAAGATGAACTCATAAAGTGAGCAATGAAATTTATCTTACATCTTTCAGATGTAACACCTTATAAAATTAAGACTGTAATATGATTATTAAACATTTTCAATTTGAATGTGCAGGGAGATGCGCAATCATGACAATGCCAAAAAAGAATGGACAGATGAGGAACTTAAGAAACTATATGAAACTCATGAGAGGCTGTTAGATTTTGTTTCACTATTCTGTTATGTTCCAAGAGCAAAATATCTTCCTTTAGGGCCAACAAGGTAGATCCTTCTTTCCACATGGCTTGCGTCTTTTAGTCAATTAGGAGTTAAGCTTCTTAAATGTCACTTGAAAGAAAAGTATAGCCTCATGGAATCAGTTTACTTTGCCTCTCAGATTTGCCTTTTACATTATCCATAAATGTCAAGCCAAAATTATATGAATTTGATGTGTGGAATTAAATCAATTGACTAATCTTTCTTTTTGTTCGTTGTTGAGTGTGCTCGACCCATTCATGACTACGTCTTCTTTGATTTAGTCGTGATCTGTTCTTCCTTTAAAATGAACTTGATATTAGAACAAGTTAAGTCTTTCTTGTGAAATTAAGCATTTCGTTGTTCCTAGTACAAAATAGAATCCCCCTTCCCAGTTCCACAATTTTTTAATTTACATTGATTGAAAGAAAAATTCATATTGGACAACAATTCAGCCTCACTATTTTCTCTTTTTTGGTTTATTTTACTTTGCAAACAGCGCAAAACTTATTGACATCTACCGTACCCGCCATAACATAAGCACATCAGCTGGTCTTGGCGATCCTGCTGTTGCCACAGGGATATCTGATCTTATTTATGAAACTACCAAAATGAGGATGGCGGACCTTATTCCTGAAACTACTCAAATGAAGCCATCTGAATCAGATGGCCTTGATGATGACCTTGTTAATGCTTGGGCAGCAAACCTTGGTGATGATGGCTTGTTGGGAAACAATGCACCTGCTATGAACAGGGTGAGAATCTTACCCATTCTGGTGGAAGTTCTTCATCACCCATGTTGGGATGGGATATTCCTGTATTTTATTTTTCACCATATTAATTTGTGTATTTGGAAAAAGTAACTCTCTACTTTCAAACTTTGAACATAGACCCTGGTAACCTGTCATTTTAGGTTTTTACTAGAACTTTTTATGCTGAAGTATGTTTAGTTTGAAATTCTATTAGGGAACTGGAAATGAAGTCATATACACAGTCACTGTCAAAGAGTTACACACCAGCTGGTTTGTCTTGAAGTAACCCAGTGAAGTTGGGATCTTTAAACCTATTAAATTAAGTTCATAAATTCTCTTTTTATCTTTGGATATAAGTGTCAAAACACTGGACTTCATTATATTGTAAGAGATTTGAAACTTCGTTTCTTTAGTTGTGTGACTTGTGTCTGACAAATCCTTTTGATCTCTGTCTCACATTAGGTCAACGAATTTTTAGCTGGTGCCGGTACTGATGCTCCAGATGTTGAGGAAGAGAACATTATTTCCAGACCTTCTATGAGTTATGATGATATGTGGGCAAAGACTCTCTTAGAGACGACAGAAATGGAGGTTGGGAATCCTAATCTGTTGAATGGTCTTGCTTTAATCTTAAATTTGTTTGTGGGAACTCAATATTTGGGAACTTTCGTTGTTTATACAGGAAGACGGGAGGTCATCTGGGTCTTCTTCCCCTGATTCATTAGGATCTGTGGAGACATCCATTTCATCTCACTTTGGAGGAATGAGCTATCCGTCATTGTTCAGTTCCAAGCCATCTACTTACGGAACTTCGCAGTCCACGGTATGCAAATTAATGCATTGAAAAATATTTTTGCTTCTGTATGGCAATGGTTATAATTGCAGTTCTGGAATCAAGATATGAATTATCTTAAATTCATTTTCATGATATGTATATCATGTGTACGTGTGAAATAGTATTAAAATTCTTCCAAACTTGAACTTTGTTTGTATGAACTCGTGAATGAAAAATGGAGATGTTTCTCCAATTAACCCCTGAGAGACTAGACGTGTAGGATAGGTTGTTTTTGCCAAAATGAAGCCACACTTTCCTGTAGTTGCAAAAGAAACCAATAGAAATCGTGAGAAAAATTTAAATCATATTAACACCTGCTATTTCTTCTTGATGACCTTCGAGGTCGTCTAAAATTCAGCCACTAGAGAAGTAGAACGTCGCATAAAACTGCATAACATCTAAACGGAAAACAGTTCCAATAATAACTTTTATTCTTTCAACTTTCCGAGCCTTGAATCAGTGTGAAAATTTAAATCTGCACCACCTGCTTCATCTACTTCTGAGAATCCACTTCTTGTCATGGATGTCTTCAATTCTATGATTTTCAATTAGTTGCTCCATTTCTATATTTTTCCTTTTTTTCTTTTCTTCTTGAACTTCATTTGCCATTTTCCTTTTACCCGTTATATTATCTGTCTAGTTTTTTGGTCTTAAAAGTAATATCATAACTAGATTAAAAATCAGAATGATGACAAATGAAAACTTAGAATTTCACCTCCTTTATTTTGCTTTTTGTTTCCTTTCTTTCTAATAACTTCCTTTACAAAAGCATCCATGGATGTCTATAGACAAGGGGATTCAGGAAGGCAAGGATCTTCTTTTTTAATGATATGTTCATAATCTGATTTTATGTCCAAACGATAAATAGAACTACAAGTACCACCATTTTCTTTCCTGTTTCTCTGCAATAACTACAAGTTAATGTTGTGTTATACTGAACCTGATAGGTTATATGTTGAACAATTTGATCTAAAAGTTTGTGCTGTTAGAGATTCCAATATATATCATTTTAATTTTTATCTTCAACATGCCTCCTCCAGTGTAGACTAGGTTCATTTTTTCCCATCTCATTTTTTCCCATCAAAGCCTTCCACGTGCACAATTTTGAATATATGGGTGCTGGCGGTACTTGAACGCGATTTTTGGACAATATATTTGCTTAAATGACCGTATAGACACGAGGGATTTAGTTTTCTAGCTCTGGGAATGTGTTATTTTTTTTAATCCACTGCTAGAGTGAGTAATTGTTTTTAAAAGAAAACCAAAAAGAACATCTTTAGAGGGGGGCTAGGCTGAATTTCTAAAGGCAACAACTCTTACTGGTTCAAGTGAAACCTATCTCCACAGAAAATGGATGGATCCCCTCGCTTACCAAGTCCAGTGACAAAATTAAACACAATCATATCATATAGATGAACTATCAGTATTAAAGAGATCCAACTAATGCAGTATGTACTAAACCGACAATCAACGATCACTAGAACTATAGAATTAGAGAGAATAGAGGAGAAAGGGGAGAAAGAAGAAAGGGAGAGGAGAATTGGAGAGAGAAAATATTGTTTATTGAATCCTCAATTGTCTGCCTAATGCAATGCATAAACCCACACGTAAGGTTTTAAATAAGTTCAATTTAAGTAGGAAACCAAACAACAAAATAATATAACCCTACAGGATTATGGTGCCAACTCTTGAAATTATATCTTTATCGATCTCCATCAATCATACTTTTTCCATGGAGTTCATAGGAGATAAAGTTCTGGACGGTTGTGCAGAATGGCCTCAATTAGCCAAGTGGTCTGCCACACTGTCACCTGCTCTAAAAATGAGAGAAAAAGAAACCTTTTAAAGGTGCAAACAAGTTTAATTTTTCTTCTAATATTTTCTTGGTAGCAAGATAACGAGACATGAATTCACTGTTAACTTATATCCCTACTTGAATTAACAGTATAAGGTGAGATGAAGACACATGGTTTTGAAAATTCGGACCATGTTCAATTTCAATTGTTTTACCTAAATCGTTAATACAATACAGATAAGCTAGGTCACAATTATTGCCCTTGACCTGTCTTATCTTTAAACTGTCACTTTATTACTCTCCCGTCTCACATTATACTTGTTCCTGTTAATATACTATTATTATTATTATTTTTTTATTTTTTTATTTCTTTATTTTTTTTTCAAATTCTGATTCATTTCTGAAATGCTAATGGCTTCGGGCCGGTAGCATTTTTTGCTACGTTTTATGCAACAATGGATGGAATTGTGCCCTTGTGCCAAATATTGGATGGATAGGTTCAGACAAGATTTTGATGCATTTGAGTTGCTCATGCAGGAAAGATCAGGTGGAAGCAGATATAGGGCATATGAGGGTCCTGGATCCCCGGTTGATACTATACCTGTTTTTATCAAAGTTTACTGGTGAAATGAAATCAAGTCTTACTTTTCACTGTTTGCAGATAAGAGAAGAACCTCCTCCATACTCTTCCCCTGTTCATCAAAGATATGAGTCATTTGAAAATCCGTTAGCTGGCTCGGATTCACATAGTTTTAGTTCACACGATGAGGAACGAACGTCTTCGGGAAATTCCAAATCCGGGAGTGCACTATATGACTTTACTGCTGGTGGTGATGATGAGGTACATTCAAGATCAACTACTAGTTATCATCATATTCTAATGTGATGGTTTATTAAGGAACCAAATCTGGAAGTCTGTTTTCCCTCCTCTCTGTATATGAATTTTATTGACTCTTTGTTGCTTGCAGCTA